CGGTTAAACAGCTGCCTTGTTACCCCCTCTGGGGTGAGATTCTGTGCTGTAGGGCTGCCCAACAGGGAGGGGGCGGAGGTGACTTAAGACACTGTTGTGCCCCCGATTCAGGGCTGGAGCAGCCTGCTGTAATTTAAACAGCCTGTGGTGGCAGCCTGTGGTGCTCAGGATGCAAGCTACTCGAGAAGTACCAAATGTTAATATGAACATCTGATTTCTTAATGCAACATAGTAACGATTTCCTCCTTCTATAGGAAAGGCAGCATCCTTTCCAGCAGCGAGGTGAGAAATATCATCATCAGCTACGTAAAGACGAACGAGTTGGTTGATGAAACAAACAAGAAGTGAGTAGAAGTGAATCTTATTTGTGCATCTATTTTCACTGGTCAAGCTGAGTGCAGTGCAAAAAGTTAATTGATTGAAAAAATCTGTTCGTGTAGCAAGGAATATTAAAAAAATTAACATGTTACACTGATCAAAACTACAGCACAAGTGCACTAGACTTGTGTGGAGGCCAGTGTAGCTTTTAAGTTAATCAGTCACCACCTGTTATGGTGGATTTGGTTCAGCTCCCTTACTTGTGAGTAGGTCTCGGAAACAATCACAAATGGTGGCATGCTTGATAGAGATCATAGGCTGTATTTTCACATCTCTGGGAAGAGATGGGGCAGGCTTGCATCTAATCAGCTTGTTTTATTACAGCTTTGTAAAGGTGAATCCAATCTTGTGCGACTGCCTGTTGGATAAATGGGAGCAAGACGAGATCTCGAAGCTCAAATGGGATGATCTCCTGAGCAGGTGACTAATGTTGTTTCCTGACTCTGCTTTAACATTTGCAAAGATTCAGAGTTAGCGCTTAACTAGACTACTACATGATGCAAAGCCATGTCTAACTTTAAGCCCTGAAGTAGGCAGTGGCTTCCTTATTGTCAACATAAAAATACCTACAAATAAACCTTAATTTGTAATGAGTTTAGTAGATACTGCTAAGAAAGTGCAAGTTCCATTCTTTCTTTTCTTGCCACCTTGCAAATGATTAGTAACCTAAAAATGTAATAATTAAAAATGGATAATAAGTGTTCACAAGGCAAGTCTAACAGAACCTAGTTCTGTATACGCAATCTATGTACATACACACACAATATAAATCTATCCTCGAACACATCCTTAAACATGTGCTCAGAACTTTGAGACCCTTGATCACTCCTATGGTCTACAGATCTGTGGAATCCCAGATTTAATAAAAAGATCTTGTCCATCCTGCTGTATCTGACAAATTAAACTCAAGCCATACCTTTCTCAGGTGTCTGGAACAACTGCAGCCTTACCACCAGGTGACGTTTTTTGGACATGAACCCATTGTGAGGAAAGGAAACCTTGATCCCATCGACATAACCATAGCACAGAGATCATCCAATAAAAAGGTAAAGGCAGAGAGATGATAGGGAAGAGGTGTGGACGATTAACCCCTCTTTGGATCTTAGTCCATGCTGGAGCTGTTCAGCGCTTTTAGGACAGACCTTGCTGGAGTTCGGGGCTTCTGCATAGCCAGTCTTGCCCTTTGTGGAGGAGAAGTGGGGGGTGGGTCATAGTAGCCTGGGCAGTTGGGAAACTGCTACAACTTGGCCCAGGACTCTGGTGTAGTTCTGTGCCAATGAGCACTGGCTGTCACTCAATCCTGCAGGTTAGAACTCTAAGGATTAGCGTGCATTAAAGATGTTAAAATTCTTAACACAGCCCTGGCATAGAAATTATCAAGCGTATCACATTGTTTAAGTGCAAACAAATGATTGTTTGTGGGGGGAATTCTTTGATATTTTGCCTCCAGCTGTGCTTTTAGAGTGTGTGTGTGTATATATGTAAGTGGGGGGGGAGGGGTATAAATTAGAACAGATTGTATTGAATCGATCGGAAATTTTGTATAAGAGCCTATGATGTGACACTAATGGGGAAACACTTAATGCCCAGTTCTAATCAGAAAAGCAGGACAGGGTCATAAACTGCTGTTCTTACATAGGTGGTGTTAGATTTTCACTTTGTGGATTATTTTCTTGTGACAATGGCTAAAATCCACAGGTGACCATTATTAAGAATCTTGAACTGTATGGCCTAGACCCGCAATTAGTTGCCAACACTCTCCAGCAAAGAGTACAGGCCAGCGCCACTATTAACACACTACCTGGGGCAAAGGACAGAGTCCAGGTCCAGATCCAAGGCAACCAAATCAACCATCTTGCCAAGTTGCTGCTTGGTAAGTTTGAGCCGACATGGACGGTGTCAGTTATAAAAGGTAAATGTTTTGATTATAAAACCTAGCTCTGGGATATACTTAAGTTGGATTCTTGGTTATATTGCAGAGGAATACCAGCTACATCGGAAATATATTCAAGGGCTGGAGAAGGCTCCAAAGCTTAGCCGGAAGAAGTAAATATGTCTAGTGTAAGAAGTATTCAAATCTTATTATTTATAACCAGTTCTGCCTACAGCTGAGGGGTGAAATTCTGCTCCCATTTAAGTCAATGGGAGTTTTGCTGTTGACTTTCATGAGCCCAGGATTTCATCCAAAGAATGTAATTGCTTTAGCTGTTCAAATTTTTTAAAATAAAAATCTCAAATGTTGTCTTCTTCCAGATATTTTACTAAAGCGTTCCAATGGGTTACCAAATTGCTGGCTTGTAAGCTAATCTTTAACATGCTTTTTTTTTGGTTAATGAAAGCAGTCTAACAACTAAACAAAGCCTATTCCAGCACATCATGGCCTAGAATTCATACCTTTTGTAGTTTAAAAACGTTTTCAGTTGTCCACATCCCTTCCCCCCCCCCCCTTATTGAGCTTTGACAGTGTAATAGACCACATTGGACCCCACTCCTGCACCTAATTGCAGAATTTGGTGTAAATACAAAAGGGGACTGTTTATTTTAAGGCTCTTGTCTTGCAATGAGCTTCATAGTCTTTTATAAACTGCTGACTTCAATAAGGGAAAAGCTTTAACATGTTTTATAAACACTAATGACCTTACACTCAGATCCCCTTTAAACACTGAACACCACACGAGGGCACCAGACAACTTTAAATAGAACAGACACAATTCTTCTTAATCGTCGACTGTTTTATTATCTCTCTCTTACACTGTTTGCATCTGAACCAAGTTTCAGAACTTTCATAAAAGCTGAGTGACTTTTAAAAAATACCACAGAATTAACAGGGAGTAGTAAAAAATAAATTAAAGCATTGCAAAAATGCATTTCACTGTGCCACAGAAGCTTTACTATTCCATTCTATACATAGTTTTTACATGTTGTACAGCTGACAAAAATTTCACACGTACACTAGGCAACACAATACTAACCAAAGGCACTGCCAGCAGTATTTTGCGTATCTGAAGGAAGGGGGCCTTTGCTAATGTCTAAAGCTTGTGCCTTTGGCACAGGTCACTTGACTGTGCTTTGCATCAGAGTTTCAAGGTTTTTCCTCTTTAAATGCCCCCTAGCCAACAAAAACAAAAACAGCCCTCCCTCTTTGCAGGAGGTTTTCAGCAGCATTCACCGTAATTGCATAAGAAGCCATGCCTTCTACAAAACCTTAAAGACATGCTGGGGGTCCAGAGTGTGGGATGGTCACTAAAGAAAAAAAAAAATCAGTAAAAACACCCATAACACTTCTAGCCAGCGAGCTGAAATTTAAAAAAATCTGGATCTTGCTTCTCAGAACCAATGACATTTTACAGTGTGCTTCTTCTTTCTGCTCAGTCAATATTTGTACAGAATGCTTTCAAGGTCTAAAGCACTAAGGGCTAATTACTTACTGACTTCACAAGTACACTGTGAGGTCAATAAGTATTCTCCCCATTTTACAAGTGGGCAAACACCCACAAAGCCTGTGATTTCCTGAGGCTGTCTCTGCTACCTCACGGTTGTTAAAGGTCACCTGGGGAAGGAATACAGTACAACTAGGTGCCTTTCCCTGCCCTGCAGCCCTATTATCAAACCTGTCTGTGCTACTAGTTAAAACATAAGCTACCAGCTGTGACACAAAATGGCGTGTCTACACAGTGGCAGTCTTGCTAAACGGTGCAGTCACTTTCTCCTGTTTAAAACATGCTTAGATATAAAACTGGAAAAAGACAAAACAAGCATATAGTCACCTTGGGGGGAAACTGACAATTCCTTCCTCCTCGCCCCACAAAATCAGCTTCATCCCTACAGTACTTCAGAGAACGGGCAGAGGGAAAAAGTGACTGAGGCCTCTCAGAAAAGCCCTTCCCAACCGATGATCCTCATTAGCTTTACAGTAAAGATTTTACACTTAAAAAAGGCACTGAGGTAAATCTGACTCTTAAAATTGCCTTCTGTCATCACTTTGCATCTAGTGGACCCAGACCTCTGAAGTGGAATCATTTCACCATATAACAAGTTTCAAGGGATGCTTTCAACTCAGGTAGTCAGTTTAAAGTCATTTCAGGTGTTCCAGCTGCACCTACCCCTTTTCATGGCTTTACCATCCGGTTTCCTTCCTTTTCACACATCCCTTTGTTGCTGTGCGAAGGATCAATGCAGATAAGGGAAAGAGTGAAACCGACTACACACAAAGTGCTTAATCCGATGCATTAAGAGGAAACACTGGAAAAATAACCTGTTAAAAGTAACACCTTAGATTAAAGCTTTCCAGACAGAAGTGTAATTTTTAAGTTGGCGTCCTTTAACATGGGGAACCCTACACCAGCCACATGGAGGTCTGTGTAATCAGGAGCTAGGACTGGATTAATAGCAGTAACTGTGTTGTCTCCAACTGCAGCAATATCTATCTGTAAAAGGCTAAGCTGTTGCTCTCAGAAAGAATGGGGAGTAATGACATTCTTGTTGCATTCTCCCAGCTCTAAGCACCACACGTGACGGGGGGGTAGTCATACACGGAACCTAGCAGCCTCTCGTCTACGTGCAGAAGGAAGACAGTGGGAGGATGTGGAGGCTCTGTGGGTGGTTGGGTGAGGGTGCAAGGACAAGAGGTGAGAGGATAAGGGGAGACAAGCTGCAGGAGGCTGGGCAGTTGCTGTTCTTCTGCATGGCTGGAGATTGTGCTCCAGTTTTGAAGGGTTCTGAACTGAGCCATCATCCATGTTCCCACTTCAACCATCTTGCATGTAAAAAGAGTAAATCTGTAAAACATTGGTCCCTGAGTAGGAAACTGGCAATACACAGAATAGCCGCATTCAGCATTAGGGAACATTTGCTCCCATGCGGAGACTGGCTGACCAAATAATCCTACTTTCACACTCAGCCTACTTTATCTTTTAAAAAAAATTCCCTAGAATGAAGGTTATCTAAAATCCCAATAAAACCTACTGGAAAGACTACGGTGGACTTGGAGCCTTCTTGGCATCTGACTTATGTTTCAGTAGATATCTTAGAATTGTGCAACAATCTGTTTTGGCATCAACGAGAGCTGCAACGTGCACATGATCTGGTGCAACCAACCCCTGTTGCTTTATCTGCTGCTTCCTGTGGCGCCACCTAACTTATGAAATGACGGAACTACACAACACAGTCACACGCAAGGCAGCCGCAGCATCTTAAAACAAAGCCAGCAGGCAAGTTGGTGGGAGGAGGGTGAAAGAAATGCAGTTCTATCCTGCCCAACACAATAACCCAGTAGATATTCCTATTTATTTAACATTCAGCCGTTGCCATGAAGTTTCTCTGCTCGGCGACTCAATGCGACAACTGAAAGCTAAGCAGCAACTCTATTTGGTTTATCAAGGGCCTGCAGATTTAAATCGAGGCTTTCCATTCTTTACTGACGGGCTGTGATCCAGCGATAATGTCTGAGGGAAAAGAAATGCAACGCTTGTCTCTTTGTGGGGCGCGTCATTCCTCAGACAGAGGAACAGGGAGAAAGGGACAGACAAATCTGAGGTGTCCTGAGAAGTCTCTTCTTTTAAAAAATATCTAGTTTAGTCTGGTACTATATGTGCTTTGTGTTTGGTTATCCAGGTTTTCCTCCTGCTTCTTTCAAAGTCTCCTCCAGTCTTTGTTTAAACTTGCTGTACTTCTTTTGTACTTGCTGAATTTTGTCTTTTTCCTCTCTGTCCAGTATCATTAAGAAATTTTGTAGCTCTGGGATAGAGAATGCATCCCACTGCAAAGAAAGCAAAACCAAAGTGAGATGAGCAGACAGAATACCACCTCCCCTCTGCTTGCCTGTAACATACACCCTGTGGTGTATTGTGCAGCTGAGTGCTCATCTTGAAAATCAGAGGAAAAGACACGTGCTACCTAGCAAGGTCAGTTAACTAGATCTTTCTGTATATAGAAATCTAACTAACTGGCCTTGCAACTAGACTCTGCAAGTATCTTTCCCCTGATAGAGTGGGTCAGGAATTTTTCAAACCAAACATTTTAATCAAAACCAAAACTGTGGGAAAGGGGCAGTTTAGACAAAATGAAAAATTCCAATTTTCCAGTAATGCATGTCAGGAAGTATCCCTGAGAAATACTGACAGCTAGGTTTGGAATTTAGATACATTTAATCCTGCTTTTTTGATCTCTCCTTGGGGCAGGACTGCTCTCTTGTGGTTAGAATATGAACTACTTGACTGTGTGTCAATGCCCTATACTCCTTAGCAGCTGACAGTCCTGAGGTTTAGCTGAACACTCTCTGAAGTTCTAAGTTGCTGTACTGTGTGGCATATGAAGCCGTAGGAGGCTGTAGGTTTATTATACAGCATAGCATAGGCCTCTATTTTAAAATCGGTGGATTAGCTATGGCTCCATTTAGCTAATCTACTCTGAGGATTAACTGTAGAACTGCATTGCTTAGTTCTATAAACAAACAAATGGATTATGGTCTAAAAACATCAAACAGGCCACAGCATTTTTTACAGATCAGGTTTTTAAAAAACACACTAAGTTTTCTGCACTAAACTGATTGGCTAAAAGGTTCTGAAAAACACAAGCTAAGCTCAAGGAATCCTTTGAGATGCTTTAATATTTATTCTTAAGTGGAAGGTTGGTGTCTAATTCAGTGTTTTGGATGATCAAACCGTAACACAAGGAAAGTAAACTTGCTCCCTCTTGTCCCCCGGCAAAAAAAAAAAATAAAAAAAATCAAGTTGTGTTTCTACTGCAGTAAGTCTCACAGGTTTGTTTAACAAGGCCATGTGTTTTTGTAAAGCTTAACATTGGTGTGAGAGCCAAGGGAAAGACTCCCAGACATACCTCAACTTCCCCTGTTTCATTTTCCTTCAGCACAAAACTGAGAACATCTGTGTCAGGTCCAGCCAGCAGCCGGAGATACAAGGGGTATTCTGTTAGAGAGAGCTTCTGGAAGAGAACTGCAGGGAGGAAGAGAGAGAGATTCTTTAGGATCAAGGGCAGGAAGATGCTCAAGAAGTTACTGAACAAACACAGCATAGGTTCTAAGGCATCTTGAGCTGGACTTTATTATTAAGAGTCACTACAGGACGTACCATCTCCAGCAAAGGTGTTTATAAAGGGCGAGGCTGTGCAGACTAGTGCTTAAAGCAAATGATTGAAAGTCGCAACCCCTAGATACTAGATCTGCTGCTGATTAGCTATGTGAGGTTGAGTAAAAGTTCTGTCCAGATTAAGGAAATTAGAATCAGTGTAGATACAGACACCTGCCAGGGACAGACTTCACCAGTGCAGCTGAATCTGGTCACACATCTAGGTTAGGTGGTGTAAGGCCGCCACCCCCCTCAGCTTCAAGCTGAATGTGCTGTGAAGCTTAATTAACACTCTTCATGGGCAACATACTCAGCACTGGGTGTCTGAAGTGAGGCCCCCAAAAGCCCTATTTAGGTGCCTAGGCAAGTGGCCTCGTTTTCCAAAGGACTGAAGATCCTGCAGTTCTATCAATGTCAACAGGAGCTGCAGGGGGCTCTGCGCTTTTTAAAAATCAGGCCACTTGTTTAGGCTACTACATTAGGATTTAGAAGCTTAATGTTATGCACCCAGTTTAGAAAGTCTTGGCCCAAGGGCTGTGAGACCCTTCAATGAAAGGATCTATATAAACACAAACTATCAGCAGGGAAGAGCCCACCCCACTGGCCAACGCAACCAGGCACAGGTAGACTGGAAGTTGCTTAGTGTGATGTACATAAATTCATTGAGTTGGCCCCCATCCCAAACCCACCTTCCAATCTGTCCCACCCCAAAACTATGCTGTTTAGCCCCCTTTTGGGGGTGTGTGGGTGGGGGGGGGAGATTTTAACAGACAAAGGGGCAGTAATACACCCAAATCCCCTGGAATTTCAGTGGGAACAGGGCACCTAACTCCCTCACATGCTTTTGAAATTCCCACCCACAGTCTCCTACACTGTTTTGCACCAAGACTGTCTTGCCATGACAGTTTATAGTGCCAAAGTGGTTCAGCTTCCTGTGATAGTGTTTCTGTTGGATCGCTAATGGTGGATTTTTTTTGGGGGGGTGGGACGTTAGGGTAGGGGGAGTTGGACAGGGAAGAGGCAGATGACAATTATGAACCATGGCACTAGAGGAGGAAAAGAGAAAGCCGGACAAGTCCATTCACAGCAGCTGCACTCCTTGCCAATTTATAAATACATTTTTAATGTAAATATCTTGTTTATAAGGATGAGTGGGTCATGATGATTCTGATAAGGTTAAAACTCCAGAAGTCTATATGAGTCAATTAGAATGTCAATAATATTTTGCAAGTACCAAAGATAAGGCACTGTCAGAGATCAGTGTTGATACACAGAAGCTAAATAAATGAGGAGAGGGGAAATTCTGGCCAGGGACACTAGGGTACACACTGTTTGGAAAAGTGCTGTGCGTGAATAGCAGAGCGCCCAGGGTTGACAGGACCACGTGGGAAAGACTGAATTCCATGTAGGTGGGTGTCCATCTCAAAGGGCTGAGCCACCTTGAGGAGATTTTGAGCCTCCACGGTATCAAAATTTAGTACATGATATTTTTAAAGCACACAGCAGTCTGCTATAACTGAACTGAAAGGCCTGTGTTATAAATGACTAATTTCCATTGACTTCACTAGGAGTTGTCTCCACCTATGGCAACAACTCAATTTAGCTCAGGCTATAGGGGGCTCACAAGCTAGGTACACCCAGGCACTCATGCCAGACAGTAAGTAGCATCTCCTAGCTTCTGTTACAACAGCTTGTATTCCACAAAGGTGGCCATATTGGCATCTCAGCTCTGACACAAGACCCTGTAACTTAAGCAGGAGCTACTTGTGGTGCTGGAAATTAGATCTTGTGTATGCACCAGTGAACATTACTTGTTTAGCGATGAAACTATGACTCTTGCCTTAGCCAACGGGGGCTGGCCCTGAAGCAGAATAAGGCAGTAGGGTGATATTTTTACTACACAGCGGGAAGGCAAATATTGCCCAGGGATTTAGTATGCTGCAGAACAGTAATTAAACCTTCCTTAGGTTCCTAAATAGCCCCCCTCTCTGTAATATCTGAGCACTTTACCATCTTCAATGTATTCATCCTCCCAACACCCGGGAGGCTGCAAAGCGTTCTGTCCTGTAATCTCTATATAGCTCCTTTCACCCTGAACACAGCACAGCAAGTAAGATTATGTACTGACTCTACGCAGCCCCTGCTGCAAGGTGGCAAGTGTGTACCTGGTCACAGAATTGCTCCACCCAGCTTAGGACAGGGAATGACTTATCCAACAATTGCAGGGGGAATTTGTTAGGCATATTTGATGATCTAAATTAGATTTGGGCCAGGCCACCCCTAACTCCTGCAACAAGTGACCACAAGAAGTCAGGATCAGTGTGGTGGAAGGCCACATATACACGGGTTGGCTATTATAGCTCTTCCCTGATGAATGCATTAGTAAGAACACCGCACAGCAAAGCAGATCTTCCCTTGGGAAAGCATTGCCTCTGACAGCTCTGCTATTAGGAATGACACTTATCAATGAGAGGAAAGATGGCTTTATGGTTTAGGCACTGGACTTGGACTCCACAGATTTAGGTTCATTGCCCAGGTCTGCCACTGACTCCCTCTGTGAGCTTGGTCAAGTCACTTGATCTTTCTGGTCCCCAGTTCCCCACCTAATATAATATAATAAAATAATATAAATATATGGAGATATACCTATCTCATAGAACTGGAAGGGACCTTGAAAGGTCATCAAGTCCAGTCTCCTGCCTTCACTAGCAGGACCAATTTTTTTGCCCCAGATCCCTAAATGGTCCCCTCAAGGATTGAACTCTCAACGCTGGGTTTAGCTATCCCTCCCCACACCTGTAAGACTATCGTCCCTTTGTTGGTCTTTGGGGCAGGGGCTATATGTGCAGCACCTTGCTCAGTTAAGGCCTCTACTGTAACGCAAATTACAATCTTACCAACTGTGGCAGAGAGGGGAAGCATCTGGGAATTCCCCTCTCTGCACTGAGCCCCCATGGGACTGGTTGCTCAGAAGGGTGTGAACTCACCTTGCCCATCTCTCTGCATCGACTTGAAAAGTGCAAACTTCTGAGGGTTGTCCACCACCATGAACTTCTTGAGGAGCCCCTGGATCACCTCGCTGACGGTGGTCGTGCTGCTGATGTGCAGCTGTTTGACGGCATCCAGCGGCAAGTAGAAGGATGTTCTCTTGTCCGTCATATCAGCCAGATTCACCTCCTTGAGGGCATCGTAGATAGACTGTGGCCGAATCCCTGCTGGCACCGTCACAGGCCGGCGCAGTTTCAAGTGCACTTTAATGAAGCCCGTGTAAGTGCCATCCTCATTCTAAGGCAGAGGAGATAACGACAGTCAAGTTTCAATGAGCTCTCATGGGGCAAGACAGGTTTTCAGCTAATGCCAGTATTCCCCACCCCCAGCTGAAGGGGGTTTTGCAGTACTTAACCCAGTGGTAGACACGGTGAGCTGACTTTCTATAGTGCTTGAAACTTTCCTATTAATAATGTAAAAGGAACTAGCAATTTAGGTTTAGTCACTACAGAATTCTTCCTGTTCCTTACTATTCAAGAATGCCCTAGGATTCTTCCCCGCCCCTTGGCTGTCTCATCCTGTGTAAACTGTTCCTGCTACAGAGAAGAGTTATGGAAACTAACTGACATTAAATACCGTTTGTGCCTGCAATTACACTTCTGTCTCCTTTAACTGGAGATGGCTTTAGAGAGAACGTATAAGCATCTGAACTAGGGTTTCCGGGGGTTGAGCTGGATATGCAGGCTGTTTTCATAAGGTTTTAGCTCCAAATAGTTGAAATCTTGCAGCTCTCCATCTTAAATGATGGAAATTTCATGAGATTTTCACCATCCTGGGCCAAATCTGGAGATTAAGACCCTTTACACAGACTATATGAGACATCTAACCCTGGTTAAGCATGGACAACACTGTGGGTGCCAGGCTGTAACAAACTCTAAATTATGAGAACCTCTGGAACGGATTACTCAGGTACTGCTTCACAGCTGTCAGTTGGGGCTGATGTGAGTTGCTACAGAGTCCCAGGACTGCACAGGTTACAGGCAAAAGATGGCCCATTTGCCTTAAAAGAAAATGATCCAAGAATAAATAACTCCTTTGGAACCCAGGCTACTCCAATGTTAATTCATGGATCACAAAAGTTAGGAGATGGAAAAAGATCCCGTTGATGACTCCCTGGCTACGGTAAGGGGCTCCTTCAGTCGTAAGTGATGTCTGTTTAAAGACAACTTGGGGCTTGTTTTCACAAACTGACAAGCTACCGGAAAACCATAAACAACTGAACTCTGGTCTCTGAAATTGTAAAATCTCCATTATTTCTGTTTTTAAAACCTCCTTCGCTCTGATCTATAAGAACTTGTGAAATTTGCTCCTTTTGTTAAATCTCCTTTGTGAACACAGCCATTCTCTTGGCCTCCCAAGACTTACCAACAGGGCTTGGTTTACATGGTTGTTTTTTCCAAGCAGTAAACAAGGCTGCAATCAATGGCTGGAACTGTAAGCGAATTACTAGGGGTCCCACAACTTTGTTTAAAAGTTTGACCGTGGTGGAACAGAATGGCACATCTGTTTCCCCAAGGGCTCGATGTCACCAAATAGGCTGTGTAACAGCTGCTGAACTGCAGTGATGCAGCTTTCTAGTTAGATCAGGCTGTATTGTTCTTGCTATGTGTGGCAAATCATTGGCTGGACATCGAAATTATTCTGAAAATTTCCCCACTGGAAAAAAAAAATAATAATAGAACCATCGTCTGAACTGTGTGGTGGCTCACGCCAAACGGACCCGGGTACAAATAAGGCTGGTGAATAAGCACTTTAGGTGCTGAAATGAGTGACAGCCCTCGAGTCCGAAGCCCTGTGTTATCCGTAGGACAGACCAGGCCTGATTCAAAGCCCACTGACGTTAATGGGAATCTTTCCACCGGTATAGTGGGCTTTTGGATCAGGCCTGGACAGCACAGACACCGGCAATGCAAGTTTTCCTCCGTATCTCAGCCACACCTCAGCAGCAGGGCTAAGCAGCGAGCTCAGTCTCCGTGGCACAGTATTTAGCCTCTCCCAAGACTCCCACTGAGGGAGCCTGGCAGGATGGTGGATTTTTTTTTTTTTTTTTTTTACCATCGACACTTGTCTCCAAGGCAGAAGCCGAGAAGCAGCTAATTCAATGTACATAGTGGCTACTGAAAAGTCAGCAAGTTGCTTAAGACTGGATTTAAGTGCTTTGCTCTACTGAGGTCTTATCCAGGGGGTACAAATTTCAAAAGCACTTTTATGATGTAGGAGCTTAAGTCTCATTAAGTGAATTAGGCTCCCAAGGCACTTAAATGCTTCTGAATTTTTTACCCAGCATGTTTCATACTCCCATCAATTAGCAGTACAGTAGTGCCCTGACCCACCAAGCAGCAACTGGGACCCCTTGGGATAGGGGCTGTATCGACTCTGCCCCAAAGAGCTTACGCTGTTCTCCTACTTGCATAACAGCAGCCTTGGGCACAGTCAAAGTTAAAATCCAGATTCAAATGCTGCCCCTCTCCCTCCCCCCCGCAAGGCTGGGGCTGTTTAGACCCAAGTTTTTGATTCAGGCCAGTCTGTAGCCTTACGAGTTTCAGGAGAAGACAACTGCTCGAACAGGTTAATACAAATGCTATACTCAGAATTCATTTATCATACTGTGGTTCAAATGCCAGGCAAGCAGTCCATGTACTGGTAACTGATGCAGTTACCACATCATCTGATTATCTGCCCTTTACAAATGCAGTTGTGTCTTCTATGCATTTATACCCTCTGTCGGTGTGTTTTCCTCGCAGTAGAACCGGATTTCCTGCTGCTGTTTGGCAGATGAATCAAAGATTTTGGAGCTATCCATGTCGGGTGAACTTCACCCCTGTGCAAAGGCTCAGCGCAAGGCCTAGTCACTGCTGAAGCCAGAATTAAAAGCCTGCCCTTTGTGCCTGAAGTAATGTAGACAGATGAATAAAATACATACCAGCTTCATCACGAAGCAGTTTGTAACCTTGGCATTGTAACTGTTGATTATCTGTTCAATCTCCTGGGTAGTGGGAGCTTTGGGTTTTTCTTCTGCTGCTGCTTTTGTTACATTCTGAAACGAGAAATAAATAATAGTAAATACCTTTGGTGTGTACGTCACTTTGCAGCCAGGAGTACCATACGAATGGTATGCTCTTCATGGCCCTGTCTTTGCCAGGATATACATATAAGCACACAGACAGACATAATCCCTGATCCTGAGAATTTACAATAAGAACGATGGAGAAGATAATGCCAGTTATTGCTATTATTTGTATGGGCGATTTGGGCCTCTAGGCCCTACAAGGATCAAGGCCCCACTGTGCACAGAGAACAAAAAACTAGTCCCTTCCCCAAAGAGCTTACAATTCAAGTAAGATGGTTAACTACAACCTCCATCAGTTGTCTGCTCACCCTCCATCCACTGGTAGCTGCACTTCAGAGGTGTGTGGAGCGACGTCTCCTTCATTATTAAGACTGTTTCGTAATATTTATATTAGAAGCCCCAGCCATGCAGCTACTTTTGGAAAAGGACACACACAGTGAACCAGCCCCCTCCACAATAGTGTAGAAAGGGGAAAAGTTTGGCCAAAGACGCATAGGCCACCTCTTAGCACCCCCAGCACCATTTTCATGGAAAGTTTTGTGGCTTCCTTAATTTCCCTGTAGAGTGAAGAGGGTTTTGCCCAGAGGACACTTCATTAAACCTGCATGGAATTTTCTCAGATGGATGAAGGTGTTTGGTTGGTTTTTTTTTTTTACCCTACTGGAATTCAAACATATGGTTCCAAGGAATCTAAGTGATTTCAAACCTGATGCTTAAAGCTCTAAGCTGTCCTTTCTGGAAAGCTGAGAAATGCCACATGGGTCTATGACGCAGGAGGGTCTGAGATTTGAGCAGTCGGTAATGACAGGCAGATGGCTGTTATCATTCCAGAGTTCTTCAGTGAGGTATTGATCCAAAGTGCTCTGGGTGGTTTAATGACTAGCAGACAATGGCTCCTACAGGCTGATCAATGGGAAGGCCAATGGGAAGGTAAAGGAACAGACAAGCCACAAAAGGCTTTTGCTCTCTCAGGGTCTTGGATGCTGCTGCACCACACGCTTCATCTGTAAAACATCTCCATCTGCCACGTGCCAGCGGCCTGCAGTATCTGCATAGCAATGGGTGTTCCATTCAGTGGGCTTGTCACGTTTGCTCCTTGCAATCTTGGTTCTGGCAGTCCCCGAGAGAAATATTTCTGGGATAAGTGCTGCTGATGGCAAGGAAAAAGAAAGAATGGCTTTCCTGAGCCACTTCCCACAGCACTGCAGAAAGACATTCACGCATTGCAAGCATCAAGCAGCAGAGATTGTAGCGTTTTGTGGAGGGGTCAAAAGAGGGGCTGGGAAACAAGCGGCACAAAATAAAAATCTCACCAAGGATGGGAAAGGTTTTCGCCATGGAACAGACCTTTGAGCCAGCAGTCAACACAGGAGACCCGAGGGAGTTGCATTTATTATGGCAATTTGTGGGCAGCATCCCTAATGCTTGCAATAAGCCCTCGTGCAATTAATGAAACACACAAAGTCCAAACTCCCTGAGAACTTGGGCATCTTTGTTGAGCATGACTAGAACAAAAGATCATCACGTAGCCAGCTGATTGCTCACTGCCATTTTGTATGGGGAAGTAAGGGCACTCTCCCCCTTCTATAAACACCAGTCCCAGGAGGATCTGAGAGTGCCCAGAACACCGGCAGTGAGCTTCACCTCACCCCCTACGAAGTGAGTAACTATCATAGCTTCCCCATCTGTAAAATGGAGGGAGATCACATGGAGTCAGCTGCAGAATCCCCGGCTTTAGCCACTCTACTGGCCATTGCTGCCTCAGTGGAAGGTACCACTTCATCCACCTGCAGCTGCCAAATATTTTTATGCCCCTCACAGCAACGGGAAGCCACTGACTATTTTTCATGGCTCTGCTAGCATTTCCCCCCTGTGCAGAATAGCCAGGATGCTGCTGACAGCAGGTTCATCCAGGCAGAATTTGCAGTTGAATCTACATTTGGTTCTTCCTCCAAGCAGTGCATTTCTAGCAGCTTCGGAGGAGTTTGTAATTACTTCAAAGCGAAAAAGCGATCACTCCACATAAACAGCGAGCAATTTGCATGGCTAATCCATAACACGCGCCTGCCCAAAGGCCTTAGTAATCCAATCAACGCATTCACAGCCTGCCTTGGAAGTCACTCTGTTCTCTATTGTGGGGGAAACAGAGGGACAAGGGCTCTTTTCTCTCCCTTTCACAGGTTTTGGTGAATTTCCTTTTGGGAGGCTAAATTACAGTCAGATGCAGTGTGTAGGAGGGGTTCACACGCAGGTCTTTTACGTAAGCATATTCATTAGTCATTAGAGACAATCGGAAAAACACCAGTAATCAAGTCCCATCACAGACAGAGACAGCTCTGGGGAGCGAACGAAAAACATAACTGGGCATTGAGAGGATTTAAGGAAAAGGGCAATAAACACTTCTGGATACGCCTGCCATGAGGGGCTTATTAAGGAGGCTCATTAAAAGCCATGATAGCCTATTTGAACTGTGCTCCCAGTGACGTCAACAGGAATCGCGGCATCTTTGAAACTCGGGCCATGGATGTATCCAAAACAGGCTTAAATTCAAGGGGGTGCTGCCAACTACTTCTAGACCCAATATACGGAGCCAGATCCTCAGCTGGCGTAAATCGATGCAGCTCCGTTTAAGTCAATGCGGCGATGCTGATTTACACCAGCCGAGGATCTTGACCGTAGAGTCTGTAAAAATCAGCTAACTCCATTAAGGGAGGAAGGGGGATCTGTGAGTTTTCTTGTTGCCACCTGCTCCTCTGCAGTACTCCTGCCACCGAGCTTGGCAGGCAGGGAGAGGAGCCACGGGAAAGTTGCTATATGGGTCCTGATTCCGCCAGAATCCAGGGTTCTCTGAGCAGCATGAAGCCTGCTTCTGTGCCCTACGAACCCCATCAGAGGGATCACGAGGATAGTGCCAAGCAGGGGTCAGTGCCAGTATGGGAGACAATGAAGTGCTTTTGGGAGGTGTGCAGGAGTCAGGATGCTGCCTCCCCATACAACAGGTTCTGCAAGGTTTGGAGCAACTTTCCCTGTGCCCCTCAACTACCATGGGTTCTATCCCCTGGCACAGCACCTCCTCCTTGGCAGAAAACAGCATCAGGGAAAGCAAAACCAGGGAGAGATTACAAATAAATCCTCCCCTTCCACAGGTTTACATGCAGGAGGGAAGCAAATGACCCAGGTATTTTCTTGTCTGTGAAACTTCAGGTGAAAAATCAGACTCCGCTCACTGGAATTGGAAATCTGTTGCAGCCTAGAAATTCATTAAAAGCCAAGTCTCCTCTTGCTATCAAAGAGTTTACATATAGTTAAATTAGAATGGTCTATGAACTGCAAACTTTAGGCAGATTTAGGAGAACCCAGGGATTAAACAGTAATTAACTGACAACCACAAATGCTCTGATATTTGGGGGAACCTAAAGAGAGCTCGCAAGACTGGCCCAATGAAATCAAAATCTCCAGAGAGTGTTCCAGGAAAAGTATTAGCATGTGATGGCGCTGGCAGAACTGACTGGGCTAAGCTGGAGCAGATCCCATAGCCCGATACACGTGGTTGTTCATGCTTCTGGTTCAATGCGGTGAAGCGGTGATCACAGAAGATGTTTTGGAAAAAGATCTGTTCTAGTTCAGACAGGAATAATCCCGGGGAAGGTCTATGGCCTGAGTCACGCAGGAGGTCAGACTGGGTGATCACAGGGGTCCCTGTGGATTCTAGGACAGTGGCCCTAATGTCCTCCAAGGAGGAAACAGAACAGTGCTGGTCCTAAGTGCTTCCTTTATTGACTCAGGACTCTGATCCCACAAGTGAATCCAGGCAGCCGGGTCTTTGTGCTCCCATGGATCCACGCGCAGGATCAGCGCCATACAGAGGTGCAGAAAGGAATGGAGACAGCAATGAACGCAGGGCTCAGGGCAGGCCATTTCCAGGACGAGGAGATGCACCAACACTCTCCCTCAGACGGATTATAGTCTAGTCCCTGACCAAGCCAGGGGCGGGGGGGGGGACGGCGTTATTGAAGTCTGCATCAGCTTCGCAGCAAGGTCAGTGGATGTGTTTGGAGAGGTCCAGGGAATGGTCTATTCCTGGCTCCTTGTACTGACTTTGAAGATGTTACTGATGAATCACAGCCGCCTGACTTGCCAGTGCCCACAGACTGAAGCAGCAGCGAGGTAATGAAACATCCTCTGGGCCGCGGTAAGTCAATTCAGCTTGACAGGCACATCCAGGGCATTGCTGCCGCTTCTAATTCATGGAAGCAGGTCACACAACAGGGTACCACATCCTCCACAGAAACATCTCAGGACCTCTCTCAGCCTCACCTCTCTCTGCATGTCCCGGGGGCCTCCGATCAGTTTGGTGGGAGAACAGAGAGGAGAAGATCACACTGCAGACGAGGAAAGGCCCTTAGAATCTCCCAGCCATCCTATACGCACCCACGTTGCCAGGGCTCCAGGTAAAGAGGCAGGAAGCACCTTGAAAAGGCTCATTCCCCCCTCCCCCCAGCCATGCTCCCTGTGGAAACCCACAGCCGAGAGGGGGGCTACACAGAAACAACAAGAGAGTCCAGTCAGTAGAATGGCGGAGGTTTCAGCACACCGGCAGCCTAACTGTGGCAAAGTTTTTTGTTGGCCTCACAGCAAAGGAGAGTTTTAATCCTTCTACATCAAATGTTTCCTGGGCTCCAGCTGTCGTTAATCCCCCACCTCGCTATCAGGACTCATTCCCCCTGCTTTGGAAAGCGTCTCTCCAAGGCCCCTGCCTTTAACATACGCTGGGCATTAAATGATTGATGGGGGTGGGGGGGAAATGCCTCTGAGAAAATTAAGGGGGTGAGTTACCAGGAGAAAATGAACCAGCTAGAGATAAACTTACCCTGACAGGATCATTGGGAAAAAAAGCCAGCCATGCCCTCTGAAGGATGCAAGTGTGTGATTTTTCATGATTAAAGATTCTGATGCTCCCCTGAGTT